TGAGCATGCCTGGCTGTGGAATTCTGGGAGTTGAAGTCCACAAGTCTAAAAAAATTTGAAACCCACCATTGTGTCAGTGCCTCACCAGCCATAAACCTCCCCGCACGTCACTGGTGGCCTCAATGACTCTCTAAAAGGATGCAAATGACCAGCTGTCTGCAAGGAATATAAACCCTTCCATTCCCCACCATCCAGTCAGAGCTGAAGAAGCTTCTTGGAGGAGAAGCGAAAGGGATTCAAAGCAAAACAAGGAAGTCCAGCTGCCTCTTGAAAAAAAGCACCTTTGGGACAACCATGACCTGGATATGACTGAGAACCTCCATGGAAACGAATCCCTGGTCTGCACACGGATGCGAAGCTAGATCAAGATTTCAAACTTACTTTGAAATTGGCACCACCTCCAGCACATCCAAGCCAACTCTTGGGTTGTGGTTTAGCTGCTTCACAAACCCACTGTCGACCACATACCTGAAGAAAAGGAAGTCAGAAATACAAGTTTTACCAAAACTAGGGGCAAACCTAAATTCACACGCAAAGGTCAAGCATCTTAAATAGAAAAAGCATGAGAAAAGAAATTGCAAAAAAAAAACATTGATTAAGGACAATGGTTTGTCTTTTTAGATGGAGGTCAAAGTGATGAACCTGTTTGAAAAGCAAGAGATGGAGAGTTCTAGTTCCACTTTAGGCATGAAAGCCAACTGGGTGACTTTGGGACAACTATCAACAGATGGAGAGTTCTAGTTCCACCTTAGGCATGAAAGCCAACTGGGTGACTTTGGGACAACTACTAACAGATGGAGAGTTCTAGTTCCGCCTTAGGCATGAAAGCCAACTGGGTGACTTTGGGCCAGCCACCAACAGATGGAGAGTTCTAGTTCCACCTTAGGCATGAAAGCCAACTGGGTACCTTTGGGACAACCACCAACAGACGGGGAGTTCTAGTCCCACCTTAGCCATGAAAGCCAACTGGGTGCCTTTGGGACAACTACCAACAGATGGGGAGTAGGCGCAGAGCAGTTAGGAGAGGTGAACAACGGAGGACAAGGAATTGACTCGGGAAGCAAAGCATGCATGGGCACTGAATGGCCCCTCCCTGACTGGGGAATAAATAGAAGGAAAGAGGAGTGATGGTTGTAGGAGACAACAGTTCGTATTTCTGAAGATTTTGCTCATGGTGTTTTGTGCAACTGCCTTGCCAGAACCTACCGTATTTTTGGGAGTATAAGATGAACCTGTTTCCCCCCAAAAAGAGGGTGAAAATCTGGGTGTGTCTTATACACTGAATGCAGCATTTTGGGCCTCATGAAACCCCGCCCCCTTTGCAAAAATGGACGTGCAGAGGGTTTGGGAGGCTTGCAAAGTGTGCCTGAGGTCTGGGGAGGGCCATTTTTGCACATTTCCCCTCCCCCCAGCTCCTCAGGAGCACTCTACCAGTCTCCCAAACCCTCTGACATCCTTTTTTTTTTTTTGCAAAAAAAAACCAGGCAGTTTTGGCTCGTTCCCTCCCCCCCCCGAGCACTCTACAAGCCTCCCAAAGTTGTGCATGCCCCCCCCCCCTTTTTGCAATTAAATAAGGCGTGCAGAGGGTTTGGGAGGCCTGCAGTGCAAAAACCTTTTTTTTAAAAATTCACCTCTTCAAAATCATGGTGCCTCTTCAGTGGTGGGTTTCAAAAATTTTTCGAACCTACTCTGTGAGTGTGGCCTCCTTTGTGGGAGTGGCTTGCCAGCCATGTGACCTGGTGGGAGTGGCTTGCCAGCATGTGTTCTCTCTCTCTCTCTCTCTCTCTCTCTCTCTCCTTCCTTTTGTCTCTNTCTGCAAAGTGTTCCTGGAGACTGGAGAGGGCAAAAATGAGTGAAAACAGGCCTGCTTTTCACAAAAACGGGGGTGTTTTTGCCCTCCCAAGCCCCCAGGAGCACCCTGCAGGTCTTCCAAACTCTCTGCACGCCCCGATTTTGCAAAAAAACAGGCTGTTCTTTGCTTGTTTTTGCCCTCCCCAGCCCTCAGGAGCATTCTACAGGCCTCCCAAACCCTCTGCACGGCCCACTTTTTGCAAAAAATGGACCCATTTTTTGCCTACCAAACCCTCCTTGCATTTCACAAAAAATGGGAGATTACAGAGATTTTGGGAGGCTTCCAGAGTGCTCCTGGGGGCAGGGGAGGGCAAAAACGTTTTTTCAAATATACCTCTTTAAGATCTTGGTGCCTCTTATACTCCAGTGCATCTTATAGTCTGAAAAATACGGTAACTAGACTTCCTTCTTTTGACCAGTTCTGAATCTCCCTTGTAGTTTCAAGGGATGAACCATGTTGTAATATCGAATATTGACATGAAAAACTTTTCACCATCCAGGTTTTCTACATCTTGTTCAATTTTTATACCCCTCTATCATATTTCCTCTGACTTATTTTCGTTCCACAATCACTACAGTCTTTTCTTCTCAGTTCCAACCTACTCATTATTATAATTGCCCACACTTTTTTTTCAGTTCAACAATATCTCCTTTGAGGTTTGATCAGCAATCTATGGAATGAAACCAGTGGTTGTCATGCTAGAGACAACCATTTTGTCAGTAAAATCTGATGTCTTCCAAGTAATTAAAGGAACAACCATAGGAAGAATTATGGACTAAATCTCTAAAATGTATGCCAAGTTATAACTTAAAAGAAATTCAGTACAAAATGTTCTACAGGGGGTACACAATGCCATCAAGTAATATTTACCACAGACAAATCACATAATAATAAACATTGGAGATGTCATGAATCGGAAAGAACATTTTATCACATATGGTGGACATGTAAACAATCAATTTAAACTTGAAATTAAAGTAGAAATGTTTTTACTAGGCATAATAATCTCAGGAAAAAAAATTATCAGAAGCATCATAATTTAATGAGATATATGTTGACAACAGAAGAATAAATGTTCCCTAACATTGGAAGAAAGATACAATTCCAATAATATCTTATTGGGAACTTAAACTTAGCGAATATGTAGCAATGGCAAAACTAACATATATCTAATAGAAGTTTAATCAAATTTAAACAAGAATGGTCCTCATACATACAATACGACAAATGAACAAATACAAAAGGGAAACATTAGAAACACATAATCCTTTTTCTTTGTTCTTCAAAATTATTTTTGGGTATTTTAATTCTTGTTAAATTAGTTCAGATTTATATTTTTTCCCTTTTATTAGCAATATAGCAGGTGTATAAATCAACTTCAATACCAAGTAGCTTTGGTAGCTCCAGACCAATTCTTTATTGTACAACAAATACTTTGATGTAATCTATAGCAAATTCTAAAATGATTTTGGATGTACCCTGCAAGATTAAAACGAATAGTAATACACATAACTTTGCTGCAATATGTGTCCTTCCTAGACTCTCCAAACTGGTTGTGACTGTTACTCTCCCAATTTCCCAGTCAACATGTAGGATGAGTAGTTTGGGAGTTGCAACAACAGGTCCCAACATAGGGTAACCAAAAAGGAGTCTCGTTGCTCATTCACTATTACTAAGCTCCTGAATCAGACACATTAAATCCTAGAGTATTGTTCATAAACCAGAAAATAGTATTTCATCACAAGGGTTACTCAGGGACTCAAGATTTTCCCTGCATCTGTGTCCTTCTACAGCCGCGATGGCGACCCTGTGGCATGCACAGCCCTCTCTGTTAGCATGCATGCCATTGCCAGCTGCTCTTCCAGGTTCCATCACGCACATGTGGACCAGCTGTCCAGCGCACATGCGTGCGATGGAATCCAGAAGTGCAGCTGGCCACCATGTGCATACGCACCGGCCAGCTTCTCTCTTCTGGGTTCCAGCATTCTGGTGTGTGCTGAAAAGGTTAACCATCACTGCCTTACAGAGGGGATCTGTGAAGATCCTATTTCTATAAGCTATTATTCTATTAATATGCACGTTTGAATGAAGGTAGGACAAGAAGCAATGGATGGAAAAGCAACCAAGGAGTAAGAAGAAATTTCCTGATGATGAGAACAATTAATCAGTGGAATGGGTTGCCTTCAGAAGTTGTGGGTGCTCCAAAACTGGAGGTTTTTAAGAAGAGATTGGAGAACCATTTGTCTGAAGTGGTGCAGGGTTTCCTGTCTGAGCAGGGATGTTGGACTAGAAG